CCTCTTCCCCGGTCGGCATCGCTCCACTGCATTGAGACCGGGACGGACGACGGCGACGTTGCTGTGGATACGCGGTACGTGTGCCTTGCGGATGGAGAGCACATGTTTCACGGCCGTGCCACAACCATCGCTGAATACCCAAAGTCCCAAACCGTACCACCACCATACGCCTATATTTGCGGTTGGTCCGATCCGAGCTGCCGCCTGCCGGCAGGGTCTCTGTCCGTCGCCATCGTCGTGCTTCCGTGCGCGACTCTGCCACACCGCTCGCTCCTTCCTCTCGCCACCGTGCCGGCACGGTCGTTCTTCAGCCGTATCTGTCCATCAGGCAACCCTTCTCTTCTGCGGACCCCTGCCTATCCAATCCAATCCCCCCACACACTAGCCAACGACACGTGGAAGTGGATCCTCTAACTTGGAAAAGAAAAGTCATCATGCTACCGTGCTAGCCTAGGGTAAAATGAAGAAGGAAAGTTAGGGACTATTAGCAATTAGGTTATTTACTGTTGGTATTTACTATGTAGATATAAATAATTTAAAATTTATTTTATTTCATCATCAGTTTGTTTGTTATTACAAACTTATACAATAGATCTGTAATTTGCAAACTAATTTAAGTTATTTTAGCCTTAATCATATCGATTGAAAAGTTAGAGTATTGTATCTTCCCTAACATTCCTTCTTAAAAGAGAGAAGTCCACATTTCAACCTCAAACTAACTACTCGGTTTAATTTACAACCCCGAACTACGAAATTGGTCAAAGTACACCCCCGAACTAACCATGAGGCCCAAAACATAAACCTGATCTCAGTTTTGTGCCGGTCAAGCTGTTTTGCCATAAGTCAATGCTGACTGGACAATTAAGTAGCCGACGCGCTCGTCCGATGATGGCTGAGAGAAGTTTTTTTTTACTTTTTTATTTCCTAGGTGCCTAGTCAGCAGTCCCGTCGGTGTTGACTTTGGTCAAAACCACTTCACGGATACAAAACCGAGATCAGGATTGAGTTTTGGACCTCGTAGTTAGTTCAAGGTGTATTTCAACCGGTTTCGTAGTTTAGGGTTGTAAATTAAACCAAGTGGTTAGTCCGAGGTTGAAATGTGGACTTCTCTCTTCTTAAAATGGCAGAGGATCCGGTTCCACGGCACGTACGTACGCCTTAAGTTCAGCTCCATCTTCTACGTGGCCATTCCACACACGTGCTCCAACTTATGATGATCGCGCTCATGGCCTCTCTTCAGCTCGATTCTACCGTGGCAGTCCTCTGCCTCGTCTTCCTAGTTTCTTGCATCTTCCTCGTTGCTAGAAGCCGCAAGGACGGCGCGCGCGGATCACCGCCACCTTCGCCTCCGGCGCTGCCCGTCATCGGCAACCTGCACGAGCTCGGCCGGGGACGCCACCACCGGAGGCTGCAAGCTCTCGCGCGGAGCTACGGCCCGCTCTTCCTCCTCCGCCTCGGCTCCGTTCCCACCGTCGTGGTCTCCTCGCCCTCCCTGGCCGAGGCCGTGCTCAAAACCCAGGACCACGCCTTCTGCAGCCGGCCGCAGCCGCGCACGGCCCACGGCACTCTCTACGGCTGCCACGACATGGCCTTCAGCCCCTACGGCGAGCGCTGGCGCCAGCTCCGCCGCATCGCCGTCCTGCACCTCCTCAGCGCGAAGCGGGTCGACTCTTTCCGCTCCCTCCGCCAACAGGAGGTCATGGGCTTCGTGGAGCGGATCCGCGCCGGCGCCCGGGAGGGAGCCGTCAACGTGACCGAGCTCGTCATCAGCCTGACCAACACCGTCATCTCCAAGGCGGCGTTCGGGAACAGGCTCGGCGGCGTCGAGCCGGGGGTGGTGTGGTCCGCCACATGATGAAGGAGCTCACCGAGCTGCTCGGGACGGCCGCCGTTAGCGACGTGTTCCCGCGGCTCCAGTGGGTGGACTGGGCGACGGGACTCGACGCAAGGATAAGTCGGACAGCGGCTGAGCTCGACAGTGTCATCGAGAAGACGCTCACGGAGCACGAGGGGAGCCGAGCAAACGACGGTGAGGTTCATGACCTCCTGGACGGCTTGCTCTCGATCGTCAAGGAT